ACCCTGACTCTTGTGTTTCAAGCCTGCCTCAGATACCCCCTGAAGTCAGGCCTTTTCACTAATGGTTTCAAAAACTCAAAGTTTGTTTTCTCAGTCATCCAAGTATATAACAACAAAAAAGGTTGAATCATGTCATCTGGACTTCGTTTTTTTGTTTTTGTTTTTGAAACCATTAGTGAAAAGGCCAGACTTCAGGGGTATCTGAGGCAGGCTTGAAACACAAGAGTCAGGGCGGCTTCTGGGTAATACCAGATGGCTAGGCCTCAGACTGACGAAGCCTCTTGGATGAGGGGCGAAACGTTTCTTTTTAACAAAAAAACGAAGTCCAGATGACATGATTCAACCTTTTTTGTTGTTATATACCTGGATGACTGAGAAAACAAACTTTGTGTTTTTGAAACCATTAGTGAAAAGGCCAGACTTCAGGGGTATCTGAGGCAGGCTTGAAACACAAGAGTCAGGGTGGCTTCTGGGTAATACCAGATGGCTAGGCCTCAGACTGACGAAGCCTCTTGGATGAGGGGCGAAACGTTTCTTTTTAACAAAAAAACGAAGTCCAGATGACATGATTCAACCTTTTTTGTTGCTAATACAAAACTGCCTAAAATTCTTGAATAATTTTAGATGACTAAACTTCAAAACTGTGATTCATTACAGATGCGCGGTTATTTATCAGTCATAAATCATGCTTGTCGAGATGACCATTGTTGAAGCACAGACTTGTCCAGGAGCAATGACAACTGATATTTTAAAAATAAATCAGTGCTATGAATTTTTCAGGTTGTGTTCACATATGGCACACTGTGTTGAAAATTCTGTACGTGTCTGATGAAATAGCGCTGAAACTTCTGGCACCTTCTTTTTCTTCTTTCATAGAAAGTCTTGAGGCTTTCTTGTGGCCTAACAAATATCTTTTCAAAATCTCTCTCAACCCTTTTTCTCCTCTTCTTTCCCCCTCATTTACAGCTGAAACCTTTGTCTCTATCTGCAGCTGTCAGTAGCGCACGCGTTCCTCTTTATCGCTTTCCGCTTTGCCTCTTCCCGTCTCATCACTCATCCCATTTTTCCCCACTTTCTCTCACTCCCATCTCTCATTTACATGTTGTCTAACTCGATTCTTACTACTTTAATTAAAACTACTTATTTGCTTATTCACATTATTGACAGCTATTTCTCTTAGCTCCTTTGCAGTTTGTTCACTGCTCTTACACGTATTATCTCCTTTTTATTTGTTCTTATCTACACACTTTTTCTTTTTCCCTAAATATCTGCACACTATCTGTTCTGCAGATTCCTAAGCTGGGTGATTCTGAAGGTGTTTGCTTCAGTGTTTGGTGGTATCCAGGTTAACCTCAATCATCTACCAGTTTTACACAAAGCTTCCCAAGAGGTATGAATGTTTAAAAACACTTGCTTCTTTTAGATAAGATGTTCACACATAATTAAATGTGCCTGGATCATTGTCAGCTCGTCTTGTGAAACAGGGAAGTACACTTTGATAGAACACTGGGTTTTTTTTTACACACAGAAGCTGTGATGTTTAAGCTCCCACACATCCTTGCTAAGGATGCGAAATTGGGCTCTGCTGTGGTATAGTGAGATGATGAACAGATACAAGGTTGTTTTTATTCATCCACTGCAAAGAAAGAGAAATACAAATGTGTAAATAATTTTGGTGAAATGACATAAAAGATTAAAAGATGGAAACTTTTTAAAACTTAATTAATTTGACTGTTTTACTGAATTGTACACAACTCTAATTACATGGTTGACTAAATAGATAAAAGGAAATGAGCTGAGCTGCTTTTGCAGGATCACAAAATGGGCATGAATAACTTTTGTTGATCTCTTCTGCCTTGATCTGACTGAATGCAATATTTGGTGAAGGACAACTCTGCGAAAATGTCTTAGCAGTATTTTGGTTTTGAACGTCAGCCAGTTGTCAGGGTTTGTTTAGGATTCCTCACATCTTTTCAGAACGATAAGATTTTTCATCCTGTTTTGAGAAGCTAGAAAAACAAAGAACTTTGTTGAAAAGTTTAGTTGTTAATTTAATCACTGCTGCTTTGCCTTTTCATTATGTAGTTGAATTGTCCACATTTTAATTTTAAACTTTTGTCATTTTCAGAAATTACTTAATGTGCAAGACATAAATACTTTATATGGTTCTCTGAAATGTTGTGAGATGTTAGATTTTTGTTTTTGTTTTGATGTGGATGTACAGTAGTCCCTCGCTACTTTGTGACACAGTTTTTCAAAGTAAGGTAGTACATACCATACTATACCATACCATTTTATTTATAGAGCACTTAAAACAGCGGCAAGGCCAACAAAAGTGCCGTACAGACAGAGAAAAACTGGCAACACACAAAGCAATATAAAAAAATGAAGTAAATCAGAATATAGACATAAAAACTTTGCAGATAATAAATATAACGACTAACCACTGTGAAGCATACAGGTTCAAAACACAGATCATCTGGTGTTGAAAGCTACGGAATAGTAGTGGGTTTTTAAATGGGATTTGAAAACCGAGAGGGAGGGGGCCTGTCTGACAAGCAGGGGTAACTCGTTCCAAAGTCTTGGTCCTGCTACAGAGAAGGCCCTGTCACCTCTGCGCTTAAGACAACAGGACACACAATTGGCTGAATGATGGATGAGCTGCACGAGGGGCATATATTTTTATTAAAAATAAACCATTTTAAATGATTTAGCACCTCCTGCACCTGTGTGCAGCGCACAGCTGCAGGAGAAGCTTCCCTCTGCTCTTGCGGTTTTTCACTTATCGCAGCGGGGCAGGGTATGGAAACCCCCTCGATAAACGAGGGAATACTGTACAGTGCTAAGCTACTAGAGTGAGCATACTTTTGTGTTAAAAAACAAAAAAAGGAGTTTAGAGTGCAACACTTTTATTTTAAAACGGTTTTCTATCTGTAGCCGTGCCAATAGGTTCCTAAAAGAACAAAAGACTAGAGGCTCTGCATTCCTTGGAAGAATGCATATCACCCGTCAGCTTTCATGCCAGGGTTTTAGACTTAGATGATCTTAAAACTGATTGAGTTACAGTACAGCCATTTTTGTGCTGGCTAATGTTGACTAGCAGTGGCATCCATCTTGAACTGACTCCAAAATTTAAATCAGTTGTAGATGCATATCACTGACTACCTTCTGAAATTCTCACTTCAATCTCCACTGGTCCATGAGAATTTTTTTTTTTTTTTACAAATGAACAGGGTTGATAACAGTTAAAGCCCAAGTCTTAAGAAACTAAATTGTCCATTGTTTAGTGGTCAAACTGTGTGTTAGGAATGATGCTCAACTACTATCACACCCAATTTTACCTTAATATCAGTAAAACTGGCTGAATTATAACTTATGTTTGATTGGCTGTGATAACCATCTTAAACTGGGTCAAGTTCAGACTTTGTAGATGTCAACCTAGTAATTACTTTCTAAAAATTTTACAAATCTACTTTCAGTGATTCATAAGATATTTCGCTAACACTACAGACCAACAAACGTGCACATACACAGACACGGGCAAAACATTATCGCCTTTGGTTGGGTGCAATAGTTATTTACTTTCGCTTGATATATAGCAGAGTTTAAAAAGGCTGCCTTTCATTTTCATTTTTCAAATAAAAAAGTAAATGATAATTTTGTTAAAATGCTTATTTTGAAGGTCTCAACTTCCACATTACTTCTTACATTTCTTAAAACATTTTTGCAAAATGTTCTTCATAATGTAGATATATGTTCTTGATGTTTTATTTATCTGATGGTTTCTGAAGCTCGTGGTGTTTGATCACAATACAGATTATCATGAGCTCACCTCAGCTGTGTGTGAACAGCCAGTCTTTGTTCGCTATAATAAATGACAATGTGTGGAATTCTGTTTATCCATAGCTGTTTCTGTTCTTTAATTCAGGGCGCCCCGCTGGTTTATGTGTATGTGCGTCAGAGTGTCTTGGACTGCTCTCTCATCCCGCTCGTTCTCTTCTGTCACAATCTGAGGGTGCCATACACTCTCTGCCCTCTGCAGATTCAAAGCTCTTTTTTAAGGTAGATTAATGCACACAGATTCCCACACAAATACTGCAAGGAAGGTTGGGCTGCAGTAACAGACATCTACCATTGCAATACACTTTGGTTCTTCAGAAAGTTTGCCGTTCATCTTTTTTTATTAACTCCAGAAGTGACAGTGCTGATTTTATAAGTGTTATTCACATTACCATATTTTTTCTTGTCAAATCAAGTTTAAACCGTAAATTACTCCTGGCTTCTTTTTCATACTTATCTTTCGTTTGTCCCACAGATCAGTTTTGCAGAAAGTAGGTGTAGTCCTCCTGCCCCCCAACATGGCTGAGCTCGAAACTGAAGGGCACCCTCTGTACTCTGCTGTCATGATGTCTGTAAGTTCAACATCTTTAATTAGTGGGATATGGAGAAAAGCATGTGAAAATAAAAATGTGTTACAACTTCATCAAAGTCTTGCTGTCTTCTGAAGCTGAAAGTATTTTCAAAGTTCAGCTCAGTTATCAACTACTAATTTAAATGTCTTGCATAGCTGAAATTTCACGGTAATTCACCATGTTTGAGGCATTTTAGTTAAAGGAACTGTGACAATAATGCAAAATGTGACAATACTGGTAAATGTCTTATCACCATAAGTAAGAAGAATAAATTTCAGGAGTAGTTTGTTTAATTTTATGCTCAAAATCTTGGTCCAACAAAGAAAACTTTAAAATGTTATTACTCAGGAGACCCATCATAATTAGAAAAAAGTTTCTCTGTTGTTCACATTTTCTGTTTTTAATTTAAATACACTTTGGTCCACTGCAAACCTCAGATATTTTAGCTGTTTAATAAAATACATGAAGGCTGGACTTATTTTAGAGTTGGCTTCAAAGCGCAAACTCTTGTGCTGTATTACATCCAAATTTGAAAAATTAAAGTTTACAAACCTCAGGTTATAAAGTAATTTGAATTTCAGTGGGGCTGCTGTAAAGCAGTCGTAATGGTCAAATGTATGGTTCAATGCTTGTTACCTCTATATAACGAATTGTCCTATAACAAGATATTAAACCCATAAATTGTCTCGATCTCTTAATTTAGAGTGTGAATCTAGTCTAATTGTGTGTGTTGGGTGAGTGCCAATTGTAGTTTAAAAAATTAAGTGGTCCATAAAGTGTGGAAAGTGCACTGTAAATGCAGTCAATTTAATATATAAATGTATGGAACATAACTACAGATAAAATGCTTGTACTTGAAACTTTTTTCACGAGTGGTTCTGGAAGCTATTTATAGCTTGAAGTTTGAAAATGATAAATAATAATTTAAACTTTGTCATTTATTACAATTTGTTGCTTCTATTCAGTTATTTGATAGTTGGTCATTGTAAAGCTTTTTATTTTGTCTGCAGCAAGTCAAAAGCAATTGCAGCAACCAAATTGACTGAACAAGACAAGCCCACACAACCTGTGTAGTATGTTAGTTATGTGCAATACAGTATATATCATGTACATTTAAGCTTATATTACTACATGTGAAATACTTATTTATACAAATTCATCCTACTTGCACTGTTATATTCTACCATGTTGTTATTTACTATATTTATTTTGGACCTTGTAAATATTATATTTCTTTGTCACCTTTTGGTACTTTATTTTGTACCTTTATTGTGTGCTTTAATATTGCTTGTTTGTTTGTTTGTTTTTTGTTTTAGCAAGTCAAATCGATTCTTCTCATCCTGAACATTTCATTGCATTGTTAATATTGTGTTAACCTGCATATGACAAATAAGCAATGTAACGTCTTTATTTTATAAACTCAAACTCCTTTTTTTCATATCATGGGTGGCCAAACCTAGTCCTTTGGCTTTTAACACCTTGTAAAGAGTTGATTTTTTTTATCAGATTTTAAATTTTATAGGTTTTATAGTTTTATATGATTTTATTGTTTGACCTGATTTTATGTGTTTTACCATTTTTATCTCTTGGTTTTAATATACTTGTGTTATTATTGTATTTTGTGTCGTGTGAGCCAGGTTTTATTGACGACACTGTACAGCACTTTGGTCTGCTGTGGTGTTTTAAAGTGCTTTACAAATAAAGTTGATTGGATTGAAACAGGCTTCTGCAGAACATAAATAAGTAATTCAACCATTGAATCAGGTGTGTTGGAGCAGGGAAACAAGTAAAACATGCAGGATAGTAGCCCTCGAGGACCAGGATTGGACACCCCTGTTTTAGATCATTGTTTGTATGTACTTAAAAGTCCTATCTAACCAGATTAGCTATATCTGTCTGAGTCTGGCCAGGCAGTGTATTTCTATATTTGCAAGCAGAAACCATATGCTTGTTTTTGTCTTCTACTCATTAATAAATATTATATACTGTGAATAACTGGAAGCCACACAAGTTTATGCGAACACATTGCCTCCACCTGTTTAACAATTACAGTTATGTATGATTTGGACAATTGAGCTTATGAATGTCTCCTCTTTATATTTGACTTGAAAAATAATGTCTTCCTCCTGGAGAGTGTTCTTGACTTGTTTAAATGTTGTGGGAGAGTTTTTTTCTTTCCAGTGAAAAAGAAACCGTCTTCCACCAGCTTTATCTTTGTTAGATTCCATGACCTTTTATGACTTTTTTTTGTTTATTTTTCAGAATAAATTACTCTGCACATGTAGCCTCTTAATAATTCATTAAATCCTTTAAGGATTTATTTGTTTTTATCCACCTTATAGGCCCCATCAGAGTCAGAGTCAGAGTTTCTTTATTGTCATTCGCACCTCATGTGGTACATGTGGTGGAGCGAAATTATGTACACAAGGTCCCAGTTACATCCAACAATAAAATGTATAAGAAAAACAGTAATAACATCTAAGATATGAACTAAGAAAAACATCAACTAAATATACACTAAGCACTCATAACATAAAATATTGAACATCAGCACAAACAAGAACATGAGGCACCCATGGTGCCTTGCCAGCATTTGTTTATTTGCAAACTGTATGAGCTAATGTAGTTTCTCCAAGCATTGTAGATTGAATTTAAACATGTGGGAACACCACCTGTCAGAGCTCAAACAGGACAATACAATCGTACCACTGCCTACTGCGGATAGGGATGGGAGGACGAGCTGAAGAAGTGGCTGCAGATTACACAGATGAGCATATTTAGCTACTTCACTGACTTGGTTGCTTCTGACGGTGAAGTGATGAACAACCTGAAAAGCTCTGAGGCGTATTAGTGTCTACGCAGTAATAAGGTCGGTCTTGTTTTGTTAAGAGGTGGGACACAATCTTATTTACGTTAAAGCAGACACAGAGCTCAACCAAAGCCTTAAAGTCCTCCATCACTGAGTTTGGGTTAATTGCAGAGAAAATCGTAATACTGAAGATGAACAAATACTATAATGCTGTGCCCACAATACTCTTGAAATCATACCTGATATTCTCGTCGCACTGTTTTCAAGCCTGAGGATCTGGCGTCTCTTCTCCGGTGGTTTATTGTAGCCCATCCACAAAGTAGGATGTGGATTTTCCTCTGTTGGCCGTTTGTCAATAAAGTGAAATGAACACACATACAATGTTTTGGGTGGTCTCTTCAAAATTCAGGTTTTTCAGCCACATTCTTCTTAACTCCTCATCTGTAGGTAGGCGATGGAAACTATACCTCTTTTCACAGCAACACTGGGTCCATGTCCAAAACACTGTTGTTGTAGCCTCTGATTTAGTTTGGTCTAGTTGTTCACACAGCCGCGAACAGCACAGCAGGTACCTGAATGCCGCAAGGCTATTTTAGTCAACTTTACGGTTGTTAAATAAATGTGAACAAAACAAAAACAGAGTTTTATCTGCTAAACTGAATGCAAATGACTTTCAAATAAACCACGGCTTGTGTTCTGCATGGTAAACCAATGCTTACTGCAACTCCCGGTGTCTGACAGGAAGTTGTACCCATAATCATTTATACAGTAGTGCCCCCAGGAATAAGGTGGCTAGCTTAAAGAGAAAGTTGAAATCCTTTAGAGTTTTGTTGAAAGGCTCTGAACAGTTAATCTGTCACCTGCTGTAGTGATTCCAAGACCAAAATAGATTAATATTAGAATAAATAAGGAGTGAATAGTTCAAATGTGTTAATCTGTACACTTGTATAAGTTTATTTTATTTTAAGCAAAAATATGAGAAGCGGGAACATTTTTAATTACAATTTGTAAACTGTGGTAGTGTGCAATTTCTCTCAGAACTGTAATGTCTACTTGGCCCACAGAACTTATTGCACCATAATGTACAAGTCTCATTTTAAAGAGTCTAACGTTACTTCAGTTTATTGTCGCCATGCATTAAATGTTCTCATTGTACTCATTGTTCTCAAGCTGCTTTTAACTCTGTATGTGAAATCAGAAACAAGACAAAAGGCCCTTAGCAAAAAGAAAACTGTTTATAATTTTTGCCAATAAGCAGAAAGAGAAGCTGCAAGTAATTATATAAAATTGCAGGGTAAGCAGTTCCACCAAGACATGTCATTATTTTTTGCCTGTTTATCTGTTTTTGGTTCAGTTCACATTAACAGATACTTTACATTGCACTCTATGTTAGAGTGTTATCACAGTCACCTCAATCACAATACAGCCTTTCTGTTTTTTCTGCTCTCATCCCCAGCTTCATCCCATTTTCTATTCATTCACAAAATTACCAAGCAGCTTGTGTTTTGCTACAGAGGTCTCACCTTTGGAGTTGGCTAGACAAAGTGATGAGAACAGGGTGGGGAAAGGAGAAGAGTGGTGCTTAGTGTGATTGTGTTTACTTGGCATGTCTGCGCAGGTTGTCTTTTGCTCTTATTTTAAAAATTTATCAGGCTTCATTGTTTGTTCCATCATCTCACTTGAATCTTTTGCAGATGTCTCCTAGGATCTTCTTAGTGCAATTGGTCCAAATGTCTCTATTTACAATAAACAACAAATATCTCATTGTAGTCATTAATATGTTGTCTGGGATATAGCTTGTAGGCAACTTTTTTGTGTTTCATGTCAATTTTCAAGCTTTTTTCAGATCAAAACTGTTCCATTCAGCTCAATAAAATAGCTTAGACTGATGTTAATGTAAAATAATACAGGCACAGTGGTTTGTAGAAGGGTTATGTACTAGTAAAACAGCTTTTTTTTAATTTATATACCCATTTCAATTCTGTTTATTCATTCCTTGATCATTTATGTGAGTAAGCATATTGGCTTTGCGTGAGAAAGCAACCTTGTTTGTCGGTTGTATTTCAATGTTAATAGACCTTTATTGTTTATTGAGTGTGGGCCTGCTTAGCTGCTGTTCAATGGTAATTGAATTTTCCTTGTCTGTAAGGGGAAAACAGTACACGAGGCAAGGGAAGTATTTTTGAATGTCATAAAGTGTCCCCCCATGCTCTTTATCCTGCTCCTTACGTTTTAGCTTGTCATCCATCTGTTTTCATGCCTCCTTGTATTTCCTTTGATGGCTAATTTACAGTTTTGTTTATGCGTTATTTAAAAATGTTTTGCATGTATTGTGTGTTGATTGAACTTCTTCAGCCTGGACTTCTCAAACATTTAGCCATCTTCTTCTCTCCTCCCACCCAGCTCTTACGTGAGCTGCTACATGAGGGTCAGGTGTTAAGTGTTGGTGTGTCAGCAGAGTCTGGCCTGGGTGGCCAGTGGCTGGATCGCATCAGGCAGCTCATCAAAGAGGGATCTGTCCCTGATGTCAGTGTGGTCCCTGTGGGCATCTCGTATGACTGCGTGACCAAGACCAACGTACAGGTACCTGCATGTAAACACACACACACATTTGCGAGCACATGTTTAATAGGAGCCATCTGTCAGTGTTATGCCCTCAAGAGCAACAGGACAGATTTGTGTTTTCAAGCTGTGAAAGAAGGAAAAGTGAGGCAAGAGAAATTTTAAGAAGAGGACCAACCAAGTGTTGGTGTTCACTTACAAACAGAAAGCCAGTTACAGTATTTTGGTTTGCTAATTTGGCCTACTTAATACACTTAATAAACAGTCACAGCACAATTATTTACTGTCAAGATCTTGTAAAGTGAATCTGAAAATTTGCATCCTAAACTGCAGTCATAACTCACTGAGTTACATCTGAGCACAGACGTTGTTCACACATAGTTTTAGATTTATTTTGTCATGCCTTTTAATAATAATAATGTGTTATGTGTTGTCATCATTGTATGTTCCCATACAATGACAAAATTGGCTCTGCATTTAACCCATCCACCCCCAGGTGGTGCTGTGGGCAGCTGTTGAAGGCTCCCGGGGAGCAATTGGGATAGGGTGTGCTGCTCAGAGACACCACGAGATGTGCAATGACTGGGGAGCGAACCAGGGACTTTCGGGTCCCAAGTCGGCTGCCCTGCCTCTACCCCGTCTCGGCCCCCATTTTTGTTTGTATTTGTAGTTGTTGCCAGCAAAAATGAACAATTCTGCCAAGAAACACTCAGAAATATATCTTGTGACCTGCTTACTAGTCTTTGATGTTATCTATCTGTTTTCAAACAATGTTTAAGTTTTAGCATTCTTTTTGAATGATGTCTTGCATCTTATTGACATAAATTAGAAACAACATGGATTAAAGTTCTCTGTCACTGCAATGGATGTCTGTCATTTTGAACATAGCCAGGATAGATTTTCATTCATCTATAAAAAATGAGGAGTGGGGGGGGGGGGGGGGCGCGTGTGTTCTGTTGTGGTCTTGTTAAAGCCGTTCAATCTAATAATGATACTGACGCTGCTTTCAACTAATAAAGAGAACAGAGCTACAGTTTGACCCAGTCAGGGCAGAGCAGGGCGGGTTGTGCTGTATGGTTCATGATGAGCCCGAGTGTGAGCAGCAGAGAGAAACTGCAGGTGAAAGGTCACCTGCAGCAAGCCAAGGCAGACACCCCGCTACCCTAACAGAATCTCCCGCCCCTTCATGATGATGATGGCATGTGATAAATTATTAAACATCTATGTATTAAACGCATGTGTTCGCACGTGACTATTTCACTGCAACCAGAGGAGATACCAGAACTGATGCACCATCACCCCACCCCCTTCTTCGGCACTGCGTCCTGACCTCCTTGAGACTTTTATGTAAGTTTCTCTCACAGTGAGAGAGGCTGTTTCTTCTGCTTTAATATTTCTAAATAAATATTAAGACTAAAAGATTAATATTTATGCCCCAGATTAAAGCAGAGATGTGTCTCTTTAATTTTTCCCCCCAAACTCATGAAGTTTGCTCTGTTAGTCATTTTCAGGTGTTTATGATAGTTTATCATAAATATCTAAAAAATTATATTCTGCATGGTGTTATTGCATTAACAAGATGTTTTGGCTGTTTGGATGAGCTAAACTTGATTATATTTAGAAACATACTGAGAGGTAATTATACTCTGATGAATGCTATTTAATAAATGATGAAATGTGAAAAATATATATTATTAAATGACTACATGAGCTGAAATTGTGTAAATATAATCCATTTGAATGAAATCATCATTTTAGGAGAGAAATCTGTCAGTCTGGCAAATTTAATAATAATAATAATTTTAAGTTAATTTATACTGTGCAAAGGACTTCCTGTTCTATAATTTATTGAAATATATCTGACAACCCCTCAATTGTAAACATTTAAATGACAAAAGTAAACTACAGAAAAGTTGTTCAAACACGTCTTTTCCTTTAGAATGATGTCTTGATTGTGCTTCACTAGAGAACACTGCACAGTGTACTTTCACTAAGGCTAAATGCACAGTATGGCTACTGTGTACTTTACTTAGGTCAGATACACAGTCTGTATGGTTGAGGTGGATGTTTAAACCGCTTAAGTTTAATTTTAAGGATTTGTATTTACTTCAAGCACTACATTTTCATTGTAGGGTCATAAAGTGGCAGATCCTTTTCATCCATAATTCCATTATGCTTTCCATCATCATCCTCCAAATGACTAGTTGAATGGATAATGGTTCGCCAAAAAGCTTTCTGACACAATTCTCTTTTAGCTTTTTTCACACAAGTGTACAAATATTTCTCTCTTATCGAAGGCTCAAATTACATGGGATGAGGACACACTTCTCCCAGGATTGTCCTACAGGGGGTTCATAGTATCACATTAAGGTTTAGAGGGAAAACAAATCCAGTGATGCCTCAGCTTTCAGATCCTCGCAGAGGTTTGCACTCTGATTTCTGGCCAGCATTGGCTGATTAGCTAAGGTTTGCACATCTTTTTTTTAAGGCATCATTGGTGGCTATTATTCATTATTAGTCACCGTAAAAGCTGCCCTCTGTTATTTGCACTTTGAGACTTTACTGTAGAGTGGGTGTTGCTCTGTTAATTGCAATAATAAGGTCCTCACCCCATCATTTTGTTCTGCCATTCAGACATGGCTCACATAAATTGCAGTACACACAGTTCCTGTATTCATACACACACTCAGGAACTGGCAGTTTATCTTGGAGCCTGTCAGACAAAGACAGTTCATCTGTGCTTTTGGTGTAGAAATGTCCCTCTTGAAAAGAAAGCCTTTATGTATGTACTGTACAAATTTCCTTTTTTATATATTTAAACAGGTCGGCTTAAGATCTGTGTTGCTGCGACTGTTGTCTGTCCTTTGGAAGAAGCCAGAAGGAACTGTGAGGATCGACTTTGCTCAGCCATTTTCTCTCAAGGTACACAACTAAAACACACCACCTGAAATTAAGAAATCCCCAAATAAAATAAACATTCTGAGTGTTGAACTTTGCTCAAACTGTTATAGATCAAAAGTGGATAGTCTCTTCCTTGGGTTGTAAAACTTTCTTTTTGAATGCTGGTAAAGACGAGACTTATATTCATGCATAAAAATTTTCATATTGTTTTCTTGGCTCGCTGACAAGTTGCCATTGATTTACACACTATTAGATGACAAACGGTAAGCCTGGTCATAAATCACACTGACCTTTCAAAGTGGTTCAATTAAATTTGCTTTTACAAATGTGTGTTGAAAGTTAGAATTTGTTTAAACTTTACCCTTAATCAAAACCTCTTTTGACCCATAAGAATACATTTTGGTTCACTTGAGTGGTTAAATTAGGCAAAATAGAAGCATTGCAGAGTTTGCAAAATAAATCATCACAAACGTCTTCCACCAAAGTGATTAAAAGTTAAATGAATCTGTTTCCAGCAACTTAGAGGTTCTAACCTTCCTGGAAGTAAAATTTTATTATCTGGTAGCTTTTGAGAGTTGTATTATTTTTTGATTGATGTAACTAATAAACTAGAAACATAATTCTTTGTTAATAATTGAGAGAAGGACTTCTTCAAAAGGGATCAAAACAAGCTTCTTTATTGCTCTAAACTCAGCCAACTAAAACATCAATGCTAAATGATTTGGAGGTTTCAGCTCTTGGATGAATGCATGTGTGTACATTTATCTTGTTTGTGTGTGTAGGAGATGTGTGAGTCAGGGAGGTGCAGCGTAGATGAATGGCTCCCTCTGCAGGACCTGTTGCTGCCTGTTATCCTCAACAACAGGTAATCAAACCACCTGTGTGCTCACCTCCATGCCCAAGTGACTGTGTAAACTGAATGTGAGCGAACCACAAAGGGATTTACATCTGGGTTTTGTTGTATTTAACATGTGTGAAATTGAAAAGTTCCTTTCACTGAAACTTTGGAGAACTTTTGTCTAAACCTTAAATCTGGCAGAGAAGTGATGCAAACCCTGATGAGATTGTCATCCTCTTAGACTCGGTCCAATTACCATCAACATTACAGTCTGCCAGTGAAAGAGATAACGGAAAGAAAACCGCATCCCCTGCTCAATCTCTGCTTGGCACCTAGCGAGCAAAGTAGCTTCTCCCATCGCATGTTCATTCTACTCAAAGAGGAGCTTGTCCCCAAATGGTTTCTGTAAAAACATGGCAAGTGGTATAAAAAGAGGTAAAGAATGTGATGCGACTGGATTGTTACCAGCAAGTGAGCACTGTCTATTCATTTTTTTACTTAGTGCACTGTGGTACTTGCTTCTGACAATTATAGGAATAGTTCAGATCTTACGAACTGAGGTTCTTTGGAAAGGAACGTAGGAATTAATTATTATTTTACCTGCTGTAGAATTCTCTTGGGTATATTGGTAGAAGGATGTTAAAAATGCAGCTGCCAGGAAAAAGACAAAGAGGAGATATATGGATGCAGGTAGAGAGGACATGGATGTAGTTGGAGTGAGGACAGAGGATGCAGAGGGCAGAGTGAGATGGAGGAGGAGGACTCGTTGTGGCGACCCCTGAAGAGGGAGAAGCTAGCTGAAAGAAGAAGATAACTCTTTGAATGACCTCAGTTTAAAGAAATGAACATAAGTTCTGACCATTTTCGAACTAAGGCTGGTCCCAGTGGAACCAAAGCCAAAGTGGATTGTTTCGATTTTAAGGTCGTTTTCACACCAGATAGTCCAGTAGACTCGGTTCGGGACCAATATTCATGAGCTTTTGTTTACATTTGAGCTGGCGAGTTTGCATTCACACTGCACTGTGCAGTCGAGTCAACCTGTTGAACCAACCTATCCCCCGCTCGCCTGTGGGGGCGCTGCACCAAGAACTACTGAAAGAAACGACACAAAAACCTCTGAAGACACGTCTTCTTCTTCTTCTTCTGGAAATAAAAATAAAAATGAAGTGGCATCAAGTTTTAGCAGTTTTAGGAGTTATATTTTGTCATTTTTCAAAAATGGACTTAGCATGAGCAGAAGATGAGACAGAAGACCATGGAGAATATTGTTTTTCACACAAGGCAGCTGATGGCTCCATATAAGGTCAGAGAAATGTGTGTTTGTTTGTCCTGCGGAGCGGGGTCCGGTCTGTTTACATTCACACTATATCGAACCGCGCTGGAGTTCACTTCTACCGGACCGAGACCTAGGTTTTAGCCCGGGCCAGAGTTCGCCTTTTTGTTCCGTGACAGAGTTCGATGGCACGTTCACACCTCCCTAAACGAGCCGGACTTTCAAGGAAAACGAGCTAGAGTTCGATTAAAGCGGACTAAACAGGGCTGGTGTGAATGCACCCTAATAGTTTTTCAGTCAGGTAAAAAATATATATATATTTTTTCCCCACACTGAAGTTGCTCAAAGAGCGATCTACAACATTAATAGTCCATAACTGTTGGCGTGAATTTGAATTCAAAAGATCTGAGCTATCCTTTTATGGTTTTAGCTGTTAATGTTTCTCCCTTCAACATGTAAAAATGCACAGGGTTTGTAAAAACAGGTTAATAAAATTAAATCACGTGAAAATATTTATAAAGTTGAACTGCAGGTGGATCAGCAAAACTACATTGGACACTCTCATATTCTTCTGCGTATCTCTCTCAAACACGTGCGGAGTCGAGCTGTATAAATACTGCTCATGTTGTGCCTGCATTGCTCCGCAAAAGTTTCACTTGATCAAACACATCAAGTGCTGAGTGATGCACCTGCAACTTTATGTGTTGGTGCTTCACAGAAAAATTCCAGGTTAACCACCCACTAAACCGTTTATCTGTGTACACCTGAATTTTTGCTTTTCTGCAATCTTATTTTTATTATTGTAGTTCACAGTAACATGTTCTAACAGCTTATGGTTTGCAGTTAATATTTTCTGTAAGTTCACCGATTGTTAAAAGCTTTCAGATTTCTATCGTGGTTGACGACAGCTGCGGTTGCCATAGTAGCAGTGTGTGCAGCCCACCAAACACACACACACACAGCTGCTTTGTGAGAAATACAGCCACGTAGTCACTGGTGCAATGCCATTAATAAAGCATATATTGAAAAATTACTCGCCCTTCTCTTTAAGAGCAAATTTTTTGGTGTTTGGATTGATATCGGTTCAAAAACTCAAAACTACAGCCCTGGTTTTTTGTGCTTTACTGATGAAGGGATATAGCAGTACTATCTTGAAAGACACACAGCGTGAAAAATAAGGACTGACTGCAGCTGAGTTTTTATTTGCAACTTGTCAACCAGCTGCTAATATCTGGGACAGCATCTAAGATTTTGATGAAATTTTACTTTGTGTTGAAATTTCGCAAGGACTAAAAAATGTGAATCTGAAAATAAAGAGCACATTATTTCATTTTTTAATAATTATTTAATGACTTTTTCTAATATTCGTTTGAACACTGGTATCATCTTCTTCTTTTGGCTTTTCCCTCTTCAGGGGTCTCCACAGTGAGTCATCCTCCTCCATCTCACTCTGTCCTCACTCCACCTACCTCCATGTCCTCTAACTGCATCCATATATCTCCTCTTTGTCTTTTTCCTGGCAGCTGCATTTCTAACATTCTTCTACCAATATAGCCACTGTCCCTCCTCTGGACATGTCCAGACCATCTCAGTCTGGTCTCTCTAACTTTATCTCCAAGTTGTTCAGCCTGTGTTGTACCTCTGATGATTTCATTCCTAATGTTATCCATCCTTATCACTCCTAAGGAGAACCTCAACATCTTCATTTCTGCTACTTCCAGTTCTTTCTCCTGTCTTTTTGGCAGTGAGTTTGAATATTAGTATTTATCAAATGTATAGATATTTTCTGACCAAATCCATTACTTTGTTTATTTCAATTAATGTTTTTTGTTTAATGATGCAAATACAACAATTATCTTGTTTAGCTGAGACACTTGGTAAATAAGTTGGTTTTAAATGTGACATAAACATTTCTTACGACTTCTTCTACTGTTTAAACACTTTTAAAGTAAAATAGGTTTGATTGACTCCAAGTACTGAGAATGTTGGTAAAATGTAATTACTACGACTCGATTCTTGTACTGTAATGCAAAATGTGATTGAGGGCAAAAACCTATAAATGTGTGACTTCACTCAGTAGTAAATGCCTACTGAGAAGTAAGATTTTTGACGCTATTTAAAAATGTTTGAAAGATTTAACTGAAAAGTGAGAGGGGAAGATAAAAATATGTTGCATCGCAAGAAAGTTGATTTCCTTTTCATTTTGTTATTTTAAGATCTAACAGTGTGTTTGGCAAAAGACGGATGCTGTGGCTTCTGCCTTCTTTATTTGCATCTGAACTTGAAGAGGTGAATCAGTCAGATAGAGACCTCAGCATTGCTGTCATCCTTCACTTCATCTTCTGTAAGTCCAGGTCCATGTTAAACCCTTTTTTCATTTTAAATAGATTATCTTTTGTTAATTCAGTGTTTGTCTCTATATAGCAACGACTTCATGCTTGGCTGTGATGTCCACAAGTCTTGTGTCCAGTCTTTTGCTGTACAGACATAGCAAGGTACATGTGTCATCTTAAGAGTAAAAGGGGAAACAAATTCCCCTTTTTTGCTTTTTGTGTTAAAATCCGCCTCTGCCCTTCTAAATATCCCATCAGCACTCCAAGAGGCTCACAAACCAAATTGGTTTTCGAGCTCATGTAGTAGAGCGTGACAGGGATTTTCTGAGTCATGCCCACCAGTCTAACTAATATCACCAGATGGTTAATGCTTGTGCCTGATTTTGGAATTAAATTAAACATCTTCCTCTCTTGCTCCTCAGGGTGTGAGTATGTCTGTCCTGTGTCGTGATGTGGCTTGGCTCACTGAGGAACTCTTGCTCAGAAACCGAGACGTTGGCTTTGGGGGCAGTATACCAGAGGTGGTTCACTATTCCCTGACTCTGCTCGCTCCTCACCTCTTCATTGCTGCAACACCACCATCCAGGTTAGGTTTTGTTTTGTTTTTGTCAACAACAAAGCAACAATAAAGATATGTAAACATAAATAACATCTCCAACACATACTTTTATTTATGTGCAATCTCTTGTCTCCTTTAGGGAAGACCCTCTGATTGTGCCCCGCCCCTCCTCCGTTCTCCACCTCTCCCTCCAGGCCCAAACGGTGGTCCACACCTTTATGCTAGAAGCTGTTGGAGGTGGGTGATTTTTAGGGCATGCAGCTTGTGGAGTTTTAACATTTAAATATTATCTTGAGACTATTCTCGAGGCACATTAATTTATGTAGGAGTCCTTGGCAGTTGGTCTGACTCTTAGCACATCGGTGTGAAATTACCAATTTCAAAGTGTTTTAAGACTGAAAAAATATTCATGTTTAGTGGATTTTTAGCATGTGCCACCAGGTCTTATTTGCCATTTTAAAAGTTAGAAACTGGCACGTGAAAATGTGTGGACGTGTTTTAATGCATGTCAAAAAATTGAAACCAAAATCTTACATAATGTTGTTTAACGTTTTGTCACTCAAAAACAAAATGTAAGGAGATAAGATGCTTTTGTACAAGTCATACTTGGAAACTAGGCAACTGAATGATATAAGAAAAAAAATCTAGTTATGTCATCTAACTAGTTATCAAGTTAGATGATATTTTAGGGAAAAACGTCAACTGAGATCATTTTTTAGTACTTAAAAGTTCACTAAACTCAACCGCATGAATTTAATCAGAATTTAAATGTACAGTGGTCCCTCGCTTCTTCACAGTTCGTTCATCGCGGACTCACTCTGCCCCGGTTTTTCTAAATAAGATTGGACATGACACACAATTGGCTGATTGATGGATGAGCTACACGATTGGCATGAAAAACGTTTTTAATATATTTTTTTTTATTATTTAGCACTTCTGCAACTTTTTGCAGCCCAGAGCTGCAGAAAAAGCATCCTCCTGCAGCTCTGTGCAGCCCATACTGCAGGAGAAACTTCCTGCTGCAGCTGATCAGCTGTTCACCGTGCAGAGTGGAGAAGTGGGCGTGGCCAAGAGTGCTTGCAGGTGGCTGAGAGCGGCGGACGCAAGGAGCTGAAATCATGACATTCTGTTCTCTTTTAGAGCTTTAGAGTTTAGAAACATTGTTTAGAATATTGCAAGAGTATGGTAAGGGTTTAA